GATGTGCCATGAAAATAAAATTTATTAAAGTATATTAGTATAAAATCTTTTGTTTTTAATTTTGGGGTTTACGTTTCATTCTTGTCACTGCTGGCTACGATCTATTGTGGTGAGTATTCTACTTGTTGCATTTAGTTTAAGTGATGAATAAGGATGAAAAACTTAACTTAATGAGTTTCAGGGCACCCTAAGTTAACTGCAGGTTATTCCATTTGTCAGTATGAGACATGACAACATTAGTTCTGCTCAGTTACTTATTTCAAGAGCTACATATTAGCCTTGTATTTAGTGACTCTGCCAGCTATTGTTTGCAAAGCTTCCTCTCCAAATATAGCAGGCTTATTAATCAAATGTGAAGACACAATTTACTAATGGTAAAAATGAAAAAAAAAATTAGACCACATCCAAATAGCTTGCCAGTAAAATGCCAAGGCTTAGCCCATCTTACTTGCATTATTACCTTGCAATAATAATTCAGCTAAACATTCAAATCAGTAGCCACAAATCTTAAATAAATTCAACTGCAATCCAAAATCTGTTAAATACATGTTATGAAAGAAAGTAGAATATTTGATTCACTACCATCCATGAAAACTTTTAAGCTTTTCATTTTGCAAATAATAAAATGACACTCAAAGAGGTCAAATAACATGGTTAAAGTCAAAGTAGTAAGTGGCAAGGACCCAAAATTTCAATGGAGTTTTCAACCTGTATTATAACATGTAGTTGGTGACCTAGTCTACATAGCAGCTACTTAATCTGAACTCCAGTTTCAACTAATAACTTTTAATATTATATAAATATTTTTAAAACATAAGCTTGATAATTTAGCATGCTGTTATATATGCAATACAATTCTGTACTTTTCCCATTAATGTGGCTCTTAGGACATCTAGCCTTTTCCCATATTTTCTTTTTAGCTCTTCAAAGACCAGAACCAGTCTTTCTGCTAACTGCTTTGTCAAAAATCTTCTAGTTTCTGGGTTGTATCCTAGATCTGTAACATTAATTTTTTTTTCTGTATTCCTTAGTATTTGTCATTACAAGTAAGAAATTCCTTTCAAAATCCTCTTGTGGGTTTGCTCGTACCTCCCAAGAAAGATACCTCAGAATGTGACTTTATTTGGAAACAAGGTCTTTACAGATACAATCCAGTTGAAATAAAGCCATTTATCCTATATAATTGTTGTCCTTAAAGGGGACATTTGGATACAGAAACAGACATACAGAGAGGGCAGGAGAACACCATGAGCAAGACAGAGGATTGGCATATAGGCATATAACATCAGCAAGCAAAGGATTACCAGCAAACCAGCACATACCAGGAAAGGACGAGGAAGGAATACTCCATAGGTTTAAGGGGAAGCATGGCCCTGATGACATTTTTATTTCAGACTTCCAGTCCCCAGAATTGTGAAAAAATAAGTTTGGCTATTTTAGCAACCCAGTTTTTGGTGCTATTCTATAACAGCTCTAGAAAACTAATACATATCCCAAACCAAACAAGTTAGAAAATGCACGCATGTATACACACACAAACACACACACACACACACACACACACACACACACACACCTTTTGTTTGCTTTTCTAAATTTCTTTCTTTTAGTTGCCAGATTGTTTCTTTCAAATCTTCAAATCAGAGATTCAGAAACTAAACATATTGTCCTCATCCTATTTTACTCTGTTTTTCAGATGGTACCTTGGACAACAGCATAGTACATGGTTCTTGCATTTTCAAGAAAGAAATATGAAGTAAAAGGCCACTTTGATCATAATTTCTCTTTGTTTGGTGGAAGTATTTTAAGGTTAATCAACAAACATTTGAATACATAATTAAGAATGAATTCATATGTATGTGGTCCCAAACAAATCTATCTGGTTTGATGACACTGTCATCTACCCACGGCTGTACAGCAAATTATCCTTTTCCTTCCTTGCCTTATTCCCTCAGTCAGTAAGTATTTGCATGTGATGGTTTCTCCAAAATGCATCTTTAAGTCATCTTTAATCTAAACCTGGCTATTTCCTTAGTTCAAGACTTCGTTGATTTTTAATAGGTTCTTAATTGATCAATTTTCTCTAATTTCATCAGTTCTTATAAAACAGATCCATTTTGTTCCAGTGATGCAAAATGTCACATGTATAATAAAGCTACTATTATTTTATCATTCTATGTGTTTTACACACCCTAACTCAATCAGGAATGAGAATGAAATTGCTTGGAAAGATTAAATAGCAGACTCAGCTCATGTAAAAAGTGGTAGTGCTACAATTCAAGCCCAAGGCTGTTACACTCTAAAATAATATAAACATTTTACTACATCATAAAAGCCTTTTCATTTTGGCTATTAGAAAAACATTATGTTGATTGTCAGATAGTTCTTAAGTATTTTAGTTTCTTTAACACTTGTAACACTTTGTTTTTGCTTATTTTAAAAATCATTACCTATTGTTCTATTCAAACTACTGACAGACACTCAGTAATCAAGGAAGAACTACTGTCTACTCCATTTTGTGCTGCTATAACATAATATTATGGACTGAGTAACTTATATTAAACAATATAAATTATTCTCTAACAGTTCTGGAGGTTAGGAAGTCTAAGATCAAGGCACTGATATCTGATGATGGCCTTCTGTTGTGCTTTTAAATGGTAGAAGGTGGAAAAGCAAGAGAGAACAAATTCTGTGAATCTACAAGGCAGAAGAGCTAAAGAGGGTAAACTTGCTCCTGAAAGCTCTTTTTAGCGTGGCATTAATTCACTCATAAGTGTAGCGTTCTCTTGATCCAAATGCCTCCCCTTAGGTCTCACCTCCCAACATTGTTGCACTGGGCATTAAGTTTCTAACACATGATTTTCGGGGATACATTTAGACCACAGCAGTTTCTAAATGCCTTGGGCCAATCCATCTCTCTTTTTATTCAGTTCTTTCATTTGACATAATCTGTGGTGAATAAGACCTAAATTAAAATTTCATCTACTTGATCACCACATATAATAACATAATACATCAGAATAAGTATAATCACACTTAAACTTGCAAATCAGCTGATGATGTATATATGGTTGGTATGCGAACACTAGAAAACAATAAAGTTTAATTTTTCAGACTACAAAATTTCAGACAATTCTAAAGCAGAACTTAGATCTCACTTTCACGTTTTAAAACCACACTATTGAGGTATGATTGACATATAAAAAGCGATATATATGTATACAACTTGATGACATTGGACATAAATACATACTCTTTAAACCATTACCATGACTTATGTCATAAGCCTATCAATCATCTCCAAAAGTTTCCTCTCTCTTTAATATTGCTATTATTATTAATGTGTATGTGTCTGATAAGAACACTTAACATAAGATCTATCCCCTCAGAAATTTTAAAGTATACAATATAGTACTGTGAACTATAGACACTATTCTGTACCATAACTCTCTAGGACTTATTCATCTTGCATAACTGCAACTTTGTACCCTTTGACTAATACCTCCTTTTTTCATCCTCCCCGTAGCCTCCGGAAACCACCATTATACTCTCTGCTTCTATGAGTTTGACTATTTTAGATTCCTCATATAAGTAGTGTCATGTAATATTTGTTCCTCTGTATCCTGGCTTATTTCACTTAGCATAGTATCCTCCAGGTTCATCCATGTTGTCTCACCATGGCAGCATTTTCTTCTCTATAAGGCCGAATAATATTCCATTCTTTGTACATATCACAATTTATCTTTTCACCCATTGATGGACATTTTTCTGTCTTGGCTACTGTGAACAATGCTGCAATGAATGTGGGAGTGCAAACACCTCTTTGAGATTCTCATTTCAATTATTTTGGATAAACACCCAGATGTGTGAATGTTGGACCCTATGGTAGCTTTATTTTTAGTTTTTTTAGGAACCTCCATATTTGTTTTTACCATAGTGGCTACACCAGTTTACATTTTCACTAACAGTGTACAACAGCTCTTGTGTTTTAACCTTTCTAAACCTGTAACTACTATGTTGTAACAAGGGCTACAAAACAGTGTGTCAGAATGAGAATTTAGATGTCTCTCTAAGTATGTTTGTATGCACTTTTAGGCACTTATCCTAAAGAATTTGATAACTTTGTGACCCCTAAAAGATGGGTACTAGTAAGATGACCACAGCACTAGTCTTTTAAACAGGGAAACATTTAAGAAGGAAAGGAAGTAAGGGTACCATTAACAATGGTCATAGGCATATGCCGGGACAGGGACATAATCTAGGACTTTTGCCAGCAAACCAGGGCATAAAGTCATCCTGAATTTGCATAATTGCTATAGTAATAAGTTAAGGAAAAGGGGAGATGAAAAAATATTGGAAAGCATATTTTTGATAAATGGCGAGGGATTATTTATAATGGCAATAAATATGACACCATATTGGTCACTCTGGATCATTTTCAGGTATGTTCAGAAAAACCTATATATTTCTCTTTGACAAATACTTCTTACAACTGTTTACTTTTAAATACTCTACCACCTTCTACCTTACTATACTCACTTTTTTCCCCATAGAAAAGGGGGCTTCTATTGATAGTTACCAGTAAGTCAAAAAAACCTGGCGTATTAGTCGACTTTGGGGCTTTGGTTTCTCAAGACAGGAAAAATATGAGCAAATTTCGTTTTTTCTTTCTTTTTTTTTTCCTAATTCAAGTGAGCACAAGTGTTCCCTATTAGCCACCGTTAATACTACTTAAGGATGCTATTACTCATTTTGCATTTTCATCTCTACCTCAATCCAGGTGCCACAATCATAAAATATTTCTCAAAAATACAGCAACAAAAATATTAGAGTCTCTTTAGGAGGATTTAGCAGGATTTAAGGTCATTATGAGGTTCAATTGTTTCATTTTCAACTTTATATAATTGTTAAACTTGACTTCTGCCAATACTCAAGCTGTTCAAAGACGTACACACTGTAACATAATTTGCCATTTTGAAAAGAATAATTTATGATGATACCTTTCAAGTGAGGGCTGTGTACCTGCATTCTTTGCAGATGTAGATTTACTGGAACAAATTCTAATGTTTTCTCTCCTTTGCTGCTGCTTGATTTGAAAGAGGACCCTGATGGAAAGCAGAAATTAAACATTATTAGTAAATAATGATAAATTAATATGCATGTTAAAAGATAAACCTGACAGAAAAATGTTAAAAGAACTTCAGAAAGAAAAACATATCCTATATTTATGAGTTGCTTTTCTTCTTAGAAATTCAATATTTTAAAAAATTGTCTCAATTATTCATGTAATAATTCTGTAAGGTAAAATAGGGTATTGTTTTCTTTGTTTTAAGATGTTAAAGTTAGAAGTAAAAGAGTTTTAAAAAAAATCTCCAGTTCTCCTATCTACATAAAATCAGTTTATTATTATTTTTTCATTTCACAAGCAGGAAATGCAATTCACTTTGAGTAAGTAGAGTTATTGCTTCCACACCTGTTTCCTTGCTCAGTTCTGTCAGAATGTCTTGGTACATATTCACCATTTGGTCACAGTGAGTAAGGACATTTTTTCGCAGATTGTCCCAATGTGGAGAAAGCTCACCAAGTTCTTTTATCTCCTGGTTTCTGTTAAGAGTGGAAGAGAGGAAAAACTTTACTTTTATCTTAAACCCATAGACACATAACCCTTAGTCAGACTTGTCAAGATAGTAAGAAATTATTTCATCATAATTACCAGGAAAGTTCTATGAGCTTATTAGCTTAAATATTTTTTAAAAATTATTTTAGCACACAAAAAATATGAATAGTTTAGACCACACAAATAAAAACATATGTCAAAGGGCAAAAAATTAGAAATGTTAAATTCCCTGATGAAATTTTCATGAAGATGGCAGACTTCCTATTCTTATATACATAGGGAAGACATCAGTTAAAAAGCAAATCGTAAAACCTCTATGTAAAGATGGCTAAGTTTTTAAGTTTCAACGATACAGAATCAAAGAATGTGGGAAGGGATATCTGACCATGTTGGAAGCAAACATGAGATACTTAGGTA